GCAGCACCTCGGTGAGGCACGGGGTCTGGCCTGCACCGCGTCCCCGGGGGCTCCCATCCGGTGGGTGGCAGGGCCCCGAGCCGCGTGTCCCTGTGTTGCTCGCAGAGGAGGAGAAGGCAGAGGAAGAGGCTTTCGAAGATGATCTCATTGCTGACCGCCTAAAGGAGGACGTGGTGAGTTGCAGGCAGCAGCCTGGGTCCCTCCTCCGGCTCCTTCCCATGGGACAGCAGTCCCTGCGGAGGGACAGCAGTTCCTGGGGACAGAGTGTCTCCCCCTAGACGGGGGTGTCCCTGTGTTGCTCGCAGAGGAGGAGAAGGCAGAGGAAGAGGCTTTCGAAGATGATCTCATTGCTGACCGCCTAAAGGAGGACGTGGTGAGTTGCAGGCAGCAGCCTGGGTCCCTCCTCCGGCTCCTTCCCATGGGACAGCAGTCCCTGCGGAGGGACAGCAGTTCCTGGGGACAGAGTGTCTCCCCCTAGACGGGGAGGGCGGAGGTGTCTTGGAGCTCTTCTCACAGGCACTTGTCCTTTCTCCCCAGCTTGAGCAGAAGGGCCGACTGCAGCGACTCGTCGCCAAGGATGTAAGTATGCAGAGCTTGGGGCTTGGGCAAGCCCCTTCTGCTTTGGGCAACCATAGTTGGGCCAGGAAACACTTCCATGGGCAGTTGTTGGGGTCAGCCAGTGCTTGACCTCTGCTCTGCCACACTCTTTGCACATGGGCTCCCCACACTTGTGCTGAGTGAAAAAACAGGGGCCCTTTTCCCTCTCTGGGACATTAGCAGCACTTGATTTATGCCCTGGAGGAGGGAAGGAAGGGTATTTTAGGACCCTTTGCTGTTTAGGGGTACTGACCTTGGGGAAGCACTTGGGATTCAGACCCAGGAGAGGCCCTGTTGATAACCTGCTCACTCTCCACTCAGGTGCAACCTCCCGATCCAGCGAGCATCCGAGTGTTGCGGGGGCACCAGCAACCCATTACCTGCCTTGTTGTTTCTCCAGATGACAAGTTCATTTTTTCAGCTGCCAAGGATTGCTCCATCATTAAATGCAAGTTTGGTTTCCTCTATAAGGAATGAATCTATCCATTTCTCCTACTTAAATCCTGCAGAGCCCCTGCTGTGGGAGGACTGTGGGGTCTTGCTGGGGGTGCTGGGCTGCCCCAGGAGATGCTGGAATAATGGGGAGAAAAGGGAAGCTCTCCCTAGAGCATGGGGACCATGGGCTCTAGGCCATGACCATTGGCAGGTTCAAGGTCATCATAGTTGCTTCTGCTGGGTGTGTTGTGCGAGGTTTATTCACTCTTTCTGGGGAAGGTGAGATGCCAGCTTGCTGTATGGGAGGGAGAGCAGAGATTTCCATCATTTGACAAAGGCCATGGTTCTTGCAGGGGAGGTGGAGAGTGGGAAGAGGCTGTGTGTGGTGCCTCGAGGGAAGAAGGGCTCTGAAGAGCAGCAGGTGGGGCACATGGCTCACATCCTCTGCATGGCCATCTCGTCGGATGGCAAGTACCTGGTAAGTGACAGGTGGTCACCTGGAGGGTAGTTTTGCACCTGCAGATTTACCCTGTTAGATTTAAATAAATAAAAAAAAAAACCCTAACCTTATAGAGTTGGTGGCCTGTTCCCGGAATTGGGACCAAGTGGGATGGGAGCTTTGGTTGTGCTCAGAGCTCAGGAGGGCTGTGGGACTCCAAAGCAAAGGTTTCAGGCATCTCTTGCTTCCTGCCAGGCAACTGGAGACAGGAACAAACTGATAATGATCTGGGAGGCAACCACTTGCAAGCACCTGTACAAGTTCACTGGTCATCGTGATGCCGTGTCGGTGAGTAAGTGGTGGGAGCTGTGTGCATCAGCTGTGCTGCCTCTGGGGTCAGGCAGGTGTGTGCAACTGTGCTGTCCCTGCTGACTTTTACATGGGGGTTGGTTATGCTGCCTACCTTGCAGGAGCTGGAAAATGGGCAAGGAAGGCTCAAGGACTCATTTGAGGGCATGCAAAGCTGTCCCGGTGTCCTGTCCCCCAGGAAGAATGGGCTTTGCAACATCTGCCCCCAGCTATAACTGCTCATCAGTGCTGTCCCAGGGTGTTTGGAGGTCTGTGAACCTCTTGCTCTCCCCAGAGGGGTAGCTTGGACCCTCTGGATGGGGCAGTCAGTTTGTGGGGCAACCCCTGGCCTTTGGGGGGGATCCCTGGGAGATGAATGGGAGACTTGCAGCCATGCACATGTCCATCAGCCTCCTTGTTCCTCCGCAGGGCCTGTCCTTCCAGAAGGGTACGCACCAGCTCTACAGCGCTTCCCACGACCGCTCCGTCAAGGTCTGGAATGTGGCGGAGAACGCATACATAGAAACCCTGTAAGACCCTGGTCAGGCAGTGAGAGGTGAAGAGAGCACTGGCCCTTTGGGCACAGCAGCTGGCCAGCCTGCTGTCCAAAGGCACCCCAGGACCCTCCTGGTCTGGGAGGTACCAGCAGGCCTGCACAGAGGCAGGGGGATAGAGAGCTGTGACTCAGGTCAGCACCCTACCCCTGCCCTTTTTTTTTTTTTTTTTCCCTCTCTCACTCCAGATTTGGGCACCAGGACGTAATCACAGGGCTGGACAGCCTGAGCCGGGAGTGCTGTGTGACATCAGGGGGACGGGATGGCACTGTGCGGATCTGGAAGATTCCTGAGGAGTCACAGCTTGTGTTTTATGGGCACCAGTAGGTCTGGGGCAGATGAGGGGATTTATGTGGGCTGTGAGCAGGCAGGCTGGGCTGCTTGGGGGTAAAGTGGGTACCGCATATTACAACAGCAGATGCCCTTATGAGCTCTTGGGAGCGTGGGGCTTTATCTCCCTTCCCTCAGGAGACTCCAAAGCACCCTGATAACCAATGCTAAACACCCACTCTCTTTAGGGGCTCTATTGACTGTATTCAGCTCATCAATGAGGAGCACATGGTGTCAGGGGCAGATGATGGGTGAGTGCCAGGATGGGGCTGCTCTGGGGGTTGGCATGGCCATGCTCTCTGCACCTCCCGCACCACCGGCTCTCCCCCGGCAGGTCTGTCGCTCTGTGGGGGCTGACGAAGAAGAAGCCGCTCGCGGTAGTGAGGCAGGCTCACGGCACACATGGCTCCCACGACCTGCAGCAGCCGTACTGGATCTCAGTGGTGGCTGCCCTGCACAACAGTGACCTTGTCGCTACAGGTGCCTCATGCTGCGTGACCCTTGCTTTTCCTGTTGCTTTGAGGGGATGGGTAGGGGAAACAGGGCCAGGGGCCTTGCTCCCATTTTAAGATGGGGGAGATCTCTCTTCCTCTACCCCAGGCTCACACAGTGCCAATGTGAAGCTGTGGAAATCCGGCGAGGGATTTCGGAAACTAGAGCCCCTATTTGACATCCCCCTGGTATGGATGGGGCATGGTGGGGAGGTTGGGGATGCTGGAGGGCTTGGCTCTGTTTTGTTGGCTCAATGCGTGGCTCTCCAGGAGGCCACACATGGGAGCTGAGTGTAAAGTTGCCATGCTGGAGCTGCCTGCTCCTCATGCTCATTCTCTCCCCTTCAGGTTGGCTTTGTTAACAGTCTAAAGTTCTCGGCAGCAGCTGACTTCCTTGTGGCTGGGCTGGGGCAGGAGCACCGGTACTGTCCCCTCTACCCTGGGTTGTGGGTGCAAAGCTGCAGCTGGATAGAGGCACGCGGGGCACAGTTCCCTCCAAGGGCTGAGCACCTTGATCCTGTGTCATGCCTGGGATGAGGAGGGGGAATACAGTCTGCTGTGAGGACAGACAGAATCTGAACCTCATCTTTTTCTTGTCTACAGGCTGGGCAGGTGGTGGAGAATCAAGGAAGCCAAAAACAGCATCTGCATCATTCCCCTGAAGAAAAAGGCAGGAATGGCTGACAGCTCCTAAACCTTTCACTTGTTCTCCCCTATCCCTATCCTCTGGTTCATTAAAGCCTCTGTTGTTTATAGTCTTGCTTTTAACGTCATTAGTGTGGCTGCCCCTATGGGACAGGGAGAGCTTGAGCATTTCTGCCCCTCAGTATTGGAGTTATGTGACTCTCTTCCCCCCCGCCCCGCCCTGTTTCCAGGCCCCTCAGCAGCACCAGCTAAGCTATGGTTCTCACTTGTGCTTGTGGCCCTGCACCCTAATAGCTTCCCTCTTCTCAGAAGAATCAACTAAAGACAAGAGAAAAAAAAAACACTTTATTTACATATCACAATCTGGCTCACAGAAAAAAATCTGTTCTTAAAAACTTGACTGGACTCAAATACACAGGGCAAGTCACTCAACCTGGTCCAAAACCCCGATCTCCTGGGCTCTGCAACCGGCTGAGCAAGGGCTGTAACGGAGGGATAAACATGATCCTTACTGTTACCCTCCCTGCCCTGAGTGCCTTGTGCCAAGATATACTCTAGAAAAGAACTAAAAACACCACGAGGGTACAGAGGTGGGGTACTCAGGTGCAACCTGTCTGTGCTTTTTCAGGGTGTTAGGGCAAGGAGAATTGTTACCAGGATCAGCGCAGCTATGGGTGCTTAGCTCTGGTGCGTGATGGGGAGGTGAGGCTAGCGCCACAGCTGGGACCTGCCCTGAGCCACACATCTAGCTATGGCATCCAGGGAAAGCACAACGTGTAACATGGCTCATTGCATGGTGTGTAATACAGCTCTGCGTGAAAGAAAAGTGATGTGAATCACAGTTCAGCACAAGGGAAGAGCATGTGCCATGGCACAGTGCGAAGGAAATGCAGCAGGTGATGGCTCGGTGCGACACGTAACAGGACTTAGTTGAAGGGAAGTGGGACATGTAAGCTCAGCGTGCTGGATGAGTGGTGCATGGCATGGTTTAGCGTGAGCAAAGCGTGCTGGCAGGGAAGTGTGGCATATCATGGCTTAGTGAGAGGGCAGTGGGACGCGGGATCGTGGCTCAGTGCAAGGAAAGTGCACAGTGGCACACAGCTCGGCATCGGAGAAATATGGTGTAACACAGCTCAGTGTGACGGAAGCACGTTGTACACCCCAGCTTGGTGCACAGGCTGGGAGGCTCGCACAGGGTTGGGGGCTGAGCCTCTTTCCAGGCTCAGGGGCCCCCCACAGCAGGGCATGAGGCCAAGGTGGGTCCTGCTCTGCAGATTCTGCCTTGGGCAATGCCCTCACCTTAGTGAGCAAGCTCAGGTGCAGTGCTGCCTTGGAGCTCTTGCTGGAGCTGGGACATCCCAAGGGGGCCGGAACTGCAGCACCTTGGAGCAGCCAGCCCATCTTTCACAGGGAGGACGTTGTGGAGTCCACCACCTCGCGACCATTGCACACTGTGGGCACGTACTGTGAGGCAGAACCTGGCCAAGAAGATGGCAGTGAGCAACATGTTGGGGTCTGCCATCAGCCTTTTCCCCCTAGCCCAAGTCATTCCACTTCGGTGCGCGGTGGGTGCCCAGTGTGGCTGCATCCTCTTATGCGGGTGATGGCACTTAGTGTCACTGTATCCCACTGTGGTGGGAAATAAGTGTTGGGGCAGCTGCATCCCACTGGGGTAAGGTTGTGGGGGCAACAGACAGTAGGGCCTGAGGTGGCAGCATCACATTGCTGTGCACGAGCACCCTTAGTGCCTGCATCCCATGAGGGCAAGGGGTACCCAGGGCTACTGCAGCCCACTAGGATGGGGCAATGGGCACCCATGAGCCACACCCCTCCAGCAGGCTGTGCCACGGCCTTGGGGTTAGCAGCCCGGTTAAACAGGTGGGATCAGGCTTTGGGATGTGAAACAGGGATGATCAGCAGGGCACACAACAGTGTTTTTCACTCTCCTGTTTTCAACTACATCCAACTCTCATCCAAGCTTTCCTCCAGCCTCTTCCACCCCAGCAATTAAAAGGCCTCCCCAGCCCTCTCCCCTGTTCCTGCCGCACTCACCATGGGACTGGCTAGAGCCTGCAGCTGCCACGCTGAACCGAGTGGTGCCCACGCGGTGGCTGGCCACGTTCTTCTGGGGCTGGAAGAGGATGATGTGGAGTTTGGGAGTGAAGAGGCAGCCGAGGACCACGGTGCCACTGAGGCTCACTGAGATGCACATGGTGGTCGTCTGGACCTGGAGATGGGGTAGTGGAGAAGGCAGTCATTAGGCCAGGCCTGCAGGCTTGGCAAGATGCCAAGAAACCTCCTCTGAATTGGTCTACCATGAGCCCTCTGCCACAAGCAGGACAAGAGGAAGCCTGCTTTTGTACTTCACCAGTTCCAGGGTGCAGAGGATGCTGCTGAGCCTTAAGGAAGGGCCATTGCCATGTTCATCCTGCTCCATGGGACACACTGAACAGCGGTGGGATCTAGCACACTCCTCCTTGCCCTTCCCCAAGCCCAAACTTAGAGCCAGGGACAAGGTGTTGGGGCCAGGAGCCATAGTCAGCTCCCCTTTTCCACATGCCTGCACCACTCGAGCAAATTGAATGCCACACTCCACACCAGATCTCCCCATCAGGGTGGCCCTACTTAGCAGGCTGAAACCCCAATGCCATGAAAAAGAAAATCCCATGCCAGTCCAGTGCCCACATCAGATAGAGACTTATGGGCAGAGGCCACTGTGCCAACTGAGACACACTTCCTGTGCACAGCATAGCCTGGGAAACGCCCCGAGCAGCCCACCAATGTGCTCCATGCACTGGGCCTTGCAAATGTCCCCATTTTGAACTTTTCCTGATGTGGAGCCAGACTCCAGCACGACTGTAACACATTTCTGCTCCCACCAGGGGCTGCTGTTTCTCTCTGGAAAAGTAAGAGCTGTCATTCTCATGATCCACCAGCACCCACAAGATCAAGAAAGGAGGGCAAATGGGAGGTGATCAGGGCTGTCTTGTGCCCCCCTCATAGCCAGGTCCAAGGAAGGCAATTCCTGAAGAATGGGGGTTTAGAAGGGTGGGAAGCAGGTCAGGTGGGTTCTCTGAAGAGCTCAGGGACAATGTGTGCCATCCTTGCCCTGACCAACATTTTGCCAAGGGGCAGTCATGCCCTCAGGAACCATTGCCCCCATCAGACCTGCCCTTTTAGCATCACCTGTTGCCATGCTTCACCCATTCCTAAGTGCTCCAATGCATAGGTGACCATCACCTTTACAAGCTGCTATCTCAAAGACTCCTTTCCCCAGACTCATCTTCCAGCCACAGGCCTTTCAGGGTCCATATCACAAGGACCTGCCAGGCTGCGGTCTGCCTGAGCTACCCAAAATTTAGGCTCTTACTCGGTAGTCACTGGAGGTCACATAGAAGATTGGCAGGAAGGCCAGCCATATGATGCAGGTTGTGTACATTGTGAATCCGATGAACTTGGCCTCATTGAAGTTCTCGGGGCATTTCCGTGTCTTGAAGGCATACACCGTACACAGGATAATCAAGAGGACGTTGTAGGTGAGCGAAATGAGCATGTTGGAGTCACGGTTGTTGCACTTAAGGGTAACAATATATCTCTTGTCAGGCTCTGTCTCCTTGCCAGTGCCAGGAGTCTCCACCAGCAGCCAGATAACAACGATGATTAGCTGGCAGGAGATGAGGGCCATGCAGATGACCACCTGCGATGTGGGGCTTATGAACCTAGGGCGCTGTACCCCTTCCTTTACACCACTAAAGATCCTGGCTATGCGATTTGTCTTGGTCAAGAGAGCCGAATAGCAGACAGCGAAAGATGTGCCCAGCCCCAGGCGCCGGAGCGTGCAAACATCAGTGGAAGGCTTTGCAATGAAGATGAAGGTCATGCTGTAGCACATGAGGACCCCTGTTAAGAGAATATAGCAGAGTTCCCGCCCTGAGGCCTTCACAATGGGGGTGTCATTGTTCTTGATAAAGACCCCAAAAACAAAGAGAGTGGCAATAAATCCCAGGCAAGAAATAGTGACCGGACCAATGGCCCAAGCATCTTTCCAGCGGATGTACTCTTGGGGCAGCTCAAAGCAACCATTCAGGGTCTCATTGGGCCAGTAACCAAGACCACAGTCCATGCAGGTGAATTCATCTAGCAGGTATTCATAAGGCTGGCAGGGGATGCAGATCCAGCAACATATGTCTCCAGGCTGCATGCTCTTTATCTCATTTTTCTTGCATGGGTCACTGCACTGGGACACTGGGACAGATGTTTCAGCCCACGGGATGAGGCTGGTGTCGAGAATGAGCCCCTCAGCCCAGTAGCCCACCTTCTGATACTGATAACGCCCATCCATGTAGTGATAGTTGAAGATATTGTAGCGCCCAATCCCGTCACCGAAGCGGTCAAATCGCACAACACTCTTGGTATCTGCTGGCCTGAATGGAGCTGTGGGGAGGAGACAGGGAGACTGTCACTGGCTTCACACTGTCAGTCCTGCAGCAGTATTGCTCAGCATATCTCACTGACCCCTCTCCCCACCACAGCCCTGCCTATTGGCCAGGAGAGCACTTGCTTCCAGTGTAGAGATGATGTTGCATCCTGCACATTAGAGAGACATGTCGAAGCTGCTAAGGTCAAGGGCAAATTTCCAGGCTGTTCCCTGTCTTCATGATAACTCAGCAGTAATTGCTTCCATGGACATAACAGGGTCATGAAAGCAATGGTGGAGAATTATCTCCCCACATGTCTAAGAAGCCTGGTAGCTTCCAGGCCAGCTCCACAAGGGCAAAGAGTGTGGAGCAAGGAGAGGGCAATTCTAAGCTCCAAGGCAGCACTGTTGTCCTCCTACTACATGCACAGATCTGAATTACTCATGGATTACCAGACTCAGCCCAGATTATGGAGGAGGTATTTCAGATTCATCCCCAGAGCTGTGAGTTCCTGGTCAAAGTCTCCCTCCAGTTTAGCTCTTAAAACAAGGGGCTAAATTACAGAGCCTACAATCAAAGCCTCCAAAGACATGGTACCTTTGGGAAGGAGTTGGACGGGGCAGGGGGAAACATGTGAGACCCAGTTCCACTCAGCCATAGTAGTCTGTCTACATCTCCTGGAGAGGGAAGGCTTGGATTTCCTCCAGACTGTGGTTGTCTGATATTAGTGTCCTGGGAGAGACACAGCCCACTGTGTCAGGGCTCCCAGTTTGGGCGCACTGGAGGAATAGGTGAAATCTGGCTCTCCTTGATCTTCTCTGCCCTTCCATCCATCCCTTTCAGATAGCTAGGTAATCAAACCTCTTCTCCACCTCTGAACTTACCATCAAAATTAACATTGAGTATGAAATCCTTGTAGAACTTCTTGCCATTAACAGGCTTCATTGAGTCGCAGAGTTTGGTGACATTGGAGCACAGAGTTCGGTGCATGTTGTGAAGAGAGTGAGCCATGGCATAGACTGCATTAACCACAAATGTGATCTTGGACTCTGGCTCAAACTTGCCTGTCTTTAGGGAGTATCGACTGCAATCTTGAGTGTGGAAGCTGCACTTGAACTTGTGCTCCCAAAACTCCCGAAACCAAGGATTTCGGCTATTGTTGTAGGGGTTGAGATTGCGGAAGTAGGCAGCAAACTCTTTAATGGGGTATGCCGCCAACTCAATGGTGATGGCTCCCTCTGCAATGGCTTCTCTTCCAGCTACCACGCTCTCCAAGGCTCCCCACCCATCACTGGCTACCCACATGAAGGATACATTTGCTCTGTGAGCAGCTGCCAGCAGCTCCCGGGCATCTTCGCTCCGGGTGAACAACACGACCACTCTGGCATTGGGCTTCTGCAGCAGGGCCCTGACCACACCATCATAGGTCTTTTTATTCATGGAGCGCCCCACCTTCTCCGAGGTGGCAATGCAGATGTTGCGCATGCGGGCCTCTTGCTCAAAGGCCTCTATGCCTGTCTCACCATAGTCACCTTCTGAGGCCACAGTGGAGACATAGGTCCAGTTGAAGAAACGGAGGATCTCCGACATGGCCTTGGCTTGGTAGAAGTCTGGCGGGACGGTGCGGGCAAAGTAATCATACCGGGACTTGTCACTGAGCTTGGCACTCGTGGAAGCATAGCTGATCTGTGGGATTTGGAAGAGCCGCAGCAGGTTGGCTACCTGTGTGGAGGAAGAGAGATGAGCATAACGTACAAGGGATATTGCCCAGCCATAGTCCACTCCTGCAGCTCTCCTGAAGACATGTCCCAAAGAGGGACAGTCCCACTGTCAGATCCCTGCCCAAAACTACATGTTGAAGTATCAGCCAAATACATCATGGATCCTAAACACAGCAGTATGTTTGTAGAGCAATCCACATCTGGTGGCTCAGAGTCCCTGACTGCTCAGCAACCTGCTCACAGCAGGCAGGCAGACGGGTGGAAGGGTGCATATACAGGGTCACCCAAACCCTCTTGTGGGTGCTGGAGCACAGCTGGAAGTATGGTCCTCGTAGGGCTGCAGCAGCCTCAGGCCACAAAGCAGACAGACCTTGCCAAGGGTGGGCATGGAGAGACCAGAGGGAAGGACCCACAGGTCCGAGCCATGTCTGAGACTTGAGCAGGCTGCTGTGGTCCCTGTAGCAGGCCCATTCACTGGCTCTCGCCTTCTTATCCCACTCATGTGGAGGAAGGGACATCATGGTGTCTAGCAAGCAGAAAGGCTTGGGGTCATTTTCCAAGCTGCTCTGTGATTATTTGCTCTCAGGAAACATGGCCATTTTACTGGCTTCTGATTCCTTCCAGCTCTTGCTCATTCCTTTGTTTTTAATATTCATACTCTCCACCTATGATATTCTGGGCAAGGGAGGGAACGAGTAAAGGGACAAATGGCAAAAGCAGAAAATCCACCCCAGGTGATCCACAAAAGACAGCAAAGGCAATGCATCTCACAGCCCTGCAGCACAAAAAGGGCCCCCTCAGCATCGCCACTGCCAGCAGGCAGGGAAGAAAAGTGGGCCAGGAGCAGGGTGAGGGCTCCCCGCATGGCTTGCCTGCCAGTTCTGAGCCAGATAGAAGAGGCATCAGGGTACTGAAGATGCAGAGGGGGCTGCAGGCAGCCCTTGAGCCCATAGCCCCCTGCAAAGGCCTGGAACAGCTGCAGCTTCTGGTCACTTAGCAGAAAGGCTCATTGCCTTCAAAAGGGAAAAAAATGCCGCTAATGAGGCTATTAAAAATCCAGGCTCTCTGAGTAGCAAGGGGGGAGGAAAAGGTGTGTGGGGGAGGGGGGTCAGGAGCCTTCCCGCCAATGAGAACAAGCAGCCTGAATGCATCTCCCCACTCCCCATGCAAGAGCCGTGGCATTTAATTGACATGGCCAAATATGTTTTTAGCAGTAAATTGCATCTCCTAATGGGAGGAAGGCCCCAGAGAGCAGCAGCGCCTCTGCCTAGGTTCAGCCCGGGGTAGGAGGTATTAGATAATAATTCTTTCCCATTAAAGCTTGCAGCTCACTGGCCAAGAGCACAGGCCAGCTGCAAGGCTCCATGTGTCCTGGAACAACCTCAAAATTGCCTCTCACAACTGTCTGGGAAGGGCCTTGTCTCAAGAGGTGCCCTCAGCATCAGGACTGTCTGTCTCCATGACTCGTCTTCCTCCATCCTGCAGGTGGAGGAACACAGGCACTTGCAGACAGGATGCTGCACACAGGAACTGGTGGGTGTGCTTAGTCAAGCCCCAGGGACTTGCAAAATCTGAGAGAGCACATGGCCCATCAAGAGCCCCAGGGTCTTGACTGGCCCCTCTAGCTGGCTACATTGTTAGGAAGGATGCTTTTCCCAACACACCATCCCAAAGCTGGCCCCTGACTTCATGGTGCCACTGGTTTGGGAAGCAGAGCTGCATCACATCCAGGGTCACAGCATAGGTCTCAGATGCTAGAGGTGCCCATTTCTGCAGGCAGACACTGAGGATGTGGAGGAGCTTGTCTCTTCCTTGTACCCTGACCATGCTCTCAGGTGAAGACATGGAGCTGTGGTTGACCTAGGTTTGCTACAGGAAAACGTAGGGTTGGGACTTGCCAAGCACCATTCTAGCTGGCATCTCCTTGTCACCTCCCCACCTTATGTCTGATGGCTTTAACACCCAGCTCATCACAGGCAAGAAGGGCTCTGGAAGCTGGGTCCTCTCCAACAGATCTGCTGGAATGGCCCCCCAGGGAGCCATGCTGATGTCAGGGGACATCATAGCCACACTGGAGGGTGGCCCACCAATGCATCCAGCCCTCCAGGAACAGGAGTCATGGGGTTGAAAGTGAGTCGATCTTGGGTGCTGACACGTTCTTCTTCCCACTATGCAACATCCCCAGCCAACGATCACACACAAGAGTCAGATATCAGGATGATGAAGGAGCCCCCATTCCCCACTGTTATGCTGGGAAGGGAAGACTGGGATAATGCATGTGTCGCATGGCAACTGACTCTTCCATAGCAGCCCATGGAGACTGTGGTGAGTGGACTCCTTCTTCTGACAGGGCTCCAGTCCTGTGCTAGATGCTGGGGTTCATCTCCTGAGTAGGGGAAATGAGAGACACCATGAACCTTCACAGAGCCCAACTGGGGAGACACAATACCTCCTGCAATCTCTCTTTCCCCTATCTCTGCCCCTCTCTGTGTGGGCTTGCACCCCAGTTTGCACCTGGGCTAGGGCACACTTCCCCAGCAGGCTGTTTTAGGCTCCTCTGAGTGACAGAATAGCTACAGGCCATGGACTATCTGCAGGGCAGCATTTAGATGCTGAGGCATCTTCTGTCAAACAAGTGTGTCTGCAGATGCAGGAGCAGCTGTGTTGTATCTATCCCTGGCAGCAACCAAAGAAGCTGCCCAAGAAAGTCTTGGGTGACACTTCCCATATGCTCCTGGTCTCCAGGGATTTGTAGCTCATTCCAGCTTCCCCATTTGAGTAACTCTCCCAGAGGCTATTTCTATAGATTTAATAACCTTCAAGAGGTTGCTTTTCTATAAACTTGCCTGGGCTCTTCTTAAACATTCAAAAATTCTAGCTGTCAACTCCTGGAGCAAGGAGTCTCACCAGTAAATATGACAAGGAGAAAAACACTGCCTTCAGTTCATTTTGAACCACCTCCAGGTTGCATTCAGACCCCAAATTCTTTTCTTGGACAACGGGGAAGAGTTGATTCCTCTCCAGATCTGAATCAGCCCCAGGTTTCCAAAGAGTGCCATGTTCCCAAGTGACCCCATGCTCTGTCTCTGCAGCAGGAGGACCATCATGCCAATGCAGTTGTGGCCATCCAGGCCTGATGGTGTGGGCAGCTGGTCCACTGGGCCCTGTGTCAGGCCAGGAACAACATGCTCAGCATCCAGAGCTGGTGGCCCAAGCCATCATCCAGCAGCAGGAGGAGAGGCGGCTGTGAGTGTTATCGGCGTACCTGAGGCTGGAGAGGGCAAGCGTCATCCTGCAGGCCCATGCCAGGATGGGGAATGCCAAGACCCAGTACAAGAAGTACCAGAAGGCAGCTCACGCCATTCAAAATTGCTGGTGGAAGACCAGGGCGCTCAGAGTGCTGGCCGGCAACCACAACACAGAGGATGGTGTGGACCTGAATATCAAGATAATCATTGGCTAAGGAGCCCCTGCTACAGCTCTCGTGTTTTGGCAAGCCACAGGAGGCGCATAAAGTATTTCCCATCTGTTCCCAGCCTGGCCAGTGTCCCTCTCCGAGGGAATTGGCAGGGAATGATTCTGCCATGGCCCAAGCTGCAAACACCTCTGCTGAGAAGCTGCTGTTGGGGAGGCCCAGCAAGATCCTCCACAGTCTGAGATGGGGAGAACTCAAGGGGTAGCCCTGGCACTGGCAGGGCTGCAGATTCTCAAATTAGTAGTCAGATGGGACTGGTAATGCCATGGTAGAGAAATAGCTCCTTGTGTAAGCTTTGTGGCTCCTGTCTGATGGGCCATCATCCCTTTCACTACCTAGGGAGCACAGCATAGCCTCAGAGCAAGTAGACCATAATGGCAGCAAGGAGTGAACATGGAAGGGTACGAGGGAGAGGAGGGCAGCTGCAGCCCTTCAAGTCCTGAGAAAAACAGAAAGGGGATATTTTCTTTAGCAGAAAGTAAGACACACACACACACACACATGCCACACACTGCCAGGGAAGGAAGTGGACATGTAGCCAAAGAACAGGGCAGGCCCAGAGCTTCCCCATTTGAGGCAGTCTTGAGCTAAGAAAGACTGAGATATTGCAGCCCTGTAACCAGGTCATCCCCCACTGCCATTTCTGCCAAACGCTCAGGCCCATCTGAGACCCTCTTGCCTTCCTGTGAGGTACCTGGATGGAGACATCACTGTAGGAGCCCCCAATGACACCAGTGATGGCTGTGGGTACATCATCATGGACCGCGTAGGAGCCATCAGGGCAAATATGCTCTGAGCCATCCACCTTGGTCAAGGAGGCACGGACGAAGTCAAGTGACTGCTCCAGGGCATAAGTGTCTTTGGAGCAGGTGTCGAGGATGTGGGCACCCAGTGTGATCCCTGGCAAAATGCTTGAGTCCTTGTTGATCTCATCCAAGGCAAAGAGCATAGCCTCAAGACGCTGGATGCCCCGATGTTCATTTATTTTGCCGCAGTCTTCACTCCCCACACCTTTCTCATGCACAGGAAAGAGGCCCCCGATGACCAGGTCCCCCTCAATGCTGATCTCCTTCTTGCCAACTGGGCCATGGCCACTGGCCAAGCAGGCAGCTGAGTGCAGCAGCCAGACCCAGAGGGCACCTGGGACCATCATGGGGTACATCACTGCTGGCAGGGGGACACACAGTACCCCCTGTTACCAGTTTCCACCTATCAAGGTGAGAGGAACTGGTCCCAAAGCATCAGATGGAAGGGGGATCAGAGCTGCGCAGCATCAGCAGGAGAGGACAGTGCTGCCCAGGCCGAGCATTCAGCACCTGGAAAAGCAGAAACAGGAGAGAGTGAGTCTGAGGGCTGCAAAGAGGGCTGGGGATCACGTCCCAGCAATGCAGGTGCTGCAAGGGGTATTCAAAGATGCCATGCCTGGAGACTGAGCATCAGGCTTGGGGGACCAGGAGAGCCTACTGCTCTTCCAGCAGATTCAAGCGAGAGCTTGTTTGTGTTCTCCATCCCAATGTGCTCACACCAACCTCTGTGTTCTGTAGGCGGAGGCCCCCTCATATCCTGCAGAGGAGTAGGAGAGAGTCAAGCAGATGTGACAGCCCCAGCAACCACTCTGGATTCCCAGTACATGAAAAAGTGACAAAATTATGGAGAGACAAGCTAGAGCATGGGATCTAATCCTACTACAAAACTTTCCAGGAACTGTTGGCATGTCCAAGGCAGGCTGGGATACAGCTCCCACAGTAGCTCCAAGCAGAGTGTCCAGGTAGGGCAGAGCCTTTCTGTCCCATCAAAATATCAGGGAGGAAGGAAAGAAATCACAGAGAGCAAAGAGGGGCAGGAATTCAATGCAGGGGCAGGGATATCACCCAAGGCCAGGGATGTTGTCCAGGGCAGAGATGTCACTCAGGGACAGGAATGCTCCCCCTAGGGCAAGGCTATCACCCAGGGCAAGGAAGTCGTGTGGGGCAAGGACATCCAGCCTGTGCTGAGCAGATAGACCCAATGCTGGGTCCAAGCAGAGCACGCTGACTCAAACCACAACACTGCCTGCCTGGGCGAGGCCTGCAAAAGAACAGGACGTTGCTGCTGAGTCCCATTTGTCAGCTGGAGTGCCAAGCCCTGAGCTGACACACATGGACAACTCCTGTGTTCTTGTCTTTTGGACACTGCTTATTCACCCCTTTCCTTCCCTCTACATTAAATTCGGAAATTTCAGAAAAAGTAAAAGCTGGATTTGTTCACTGCTGCTGCATAAACCACAATGGAGCTAAGAAATCAAAGACTTTTGCTACAGACATGCCTTTTTTGGATATAAATGAAGTCTCTTCAGAGACTAGTTGTCTTTTCCCAAAACATGGAAGAGTTTTGTTTCCCATTTAAAGTCAACTTCTGCAGCCCTGCAGGTCTGGGATTTAGGTATCTATCTGGGCCATGAAAGTAGGAGCTATCAGGAGACCAACAGCAACCTGGTGACCTCAGGATGCTCCTGCATGGGGGTGACACTACAGGTCCCTGACACATAGGAGCAACACACATTTGCAGCGGTGGGGAAATACAGCTGGATGGTTAAGGTGCTCATGTGGGACCTGCAATACTGGACGACTGGGTGGGACTGATGGATGGTGATGGTGGGTGTTGAGGATGCATGGTGATACCAGACAGTGAGACTGGAAGGCGATGATGAACAGCAACACTGGACAGCGATGCCAGACAGTGGTGCTGGATAACGATGCTGAACAGTGGTGTTCGACAGGAATGCTGGACAGCGATGGCATTGCTGGATGGCGATGCTGGACAGCGGTGCTGGATGGCGATGCTGGATCATGATGCTGGACGGTGAAGCAAGGCAGCATTACTGGATGGTGACGCTGGATGGTGATGACAGAACACAGTGTTGGACATCAATACTGTGCCCCCGGCTAACCCACCCCAAGGCAGCTCCACTGCAGCCACCCCCATGACTGGACCCAGGGAACCCTTTGATGCCCACGAGCACAATCATTGCTCCCAGGGCAGGCGGATGTGCCCTGGGTGCAGAGATGCTCCCAGCCAAGGAAGCAAGCGCTAGGAAGCACAATGAGAGAGCAGAGCCTTGAGGCTTCAACACCAGCTGGAAGGCAACCAGGAATGGAAAGTGATTCTCCACAGTTGTCAACCCTCCTGAAGAGAGGAGGAGCAGCACAGTGAAGGGTGTAATTTGGAGAGGTGCAGAGGGCAAGTAGCTGGAATTTCTTCCTTCATGCCCCAAAACTGCAAGCTTTCCTCTCACTGACATGAGCTGGTCAGTACCTCACCTTGCTTGGGTGCCTTCTGCCTCCAGGGAGCCTCCAGGCACCTAGGAGCATTTCTTACCCAGTCCTCCATTCAAAAAAGCTTGAGGAAAAGGCCAAGAAAGAGTCCCTGCATAATTCGAGCAGTGAACACACACTATGAGGGATGGATATGTTGCTCCCAGGGTTTCCTCATGCAGGAAAGAAGCCAAGGACACATCAGTGTCGATCAGTGGCAGGCTGAGCTCTGATGTACAGGGGCAGCAACGCAGGGAACACCCCTGCTCCTTGAGATTATGGCCACTCCTGGAGCTGCTTAGGTAGGTTTATATAGTGCTGAAAGGGAGGAAAACCCCTCCGGAAAACATCTGGGGAACATCTTGGGAAGGGAAGCTAGTGGATAGGCTTCATTGCATACCAAGCGCCCCAGGCAAGGCAGAGTCAAATCCATCCCAACAGATGTAGTGCAGGGGAGGGACTCTGGTCTGCTCCCAACAGCCTTGAGAACATCCTACTCACCTCCAGCAACTACGACCTGCTCATCTCTGACACCAGCACTGTTAGGAGCAGAGGGGGACTGGACTGGAGAGGCCTTAGGCTGTAGAGAGGCACTAAATGTGAGCCCATGTCCTCATGCAGGAGCACAGCAAGTGGAAAACCAGCCTTGTCCCAGTTCCCGGAGAGATCCTAGAACCCACATGTGCACCTGTGCACCCACAGGCACTGCATCGTGGCCTGTATCCTCCACGGGACCAGTGCCACTATCACTGTGCGCATATGCACAGGAGGACAAGTGTGCAGCATGTGCATGCTCACCCCCGGTGCAGGTTGCAAGCTGGGCATTTGCACAGCTGTGCACGCCGCACACTCCCCCAGCCCCACGGGGGAGCACAGGATGTGTACACACCCGTGGACACAGAGACATGCCGCATGTGTGCCCTTGCACATGGCTACAGGGTACGCACGGAGGTAAGCACCGTGTGCGCCCTTGCCCATCAGTGTATTCGGTGTGCACATCTGTATGGTCATGCATGTGTGCACGTCAGCATGAGGCGCTCTGTGCTGACACCTGTACAGGGCATGGCTGCCCAGATGTACACGCCCCGCGGGTATGTGCACGTCTGCACAGATGCATGTGGCATGCTGAGGTGCACCCCCATGCACATCGGCAGCTGTGAGCCACCCATCTGCACGGCCGCACACGTGCAATGCGGCGCATGCCAACACCTGCGCCCGGCATGCACAGCGTGTGTGCACATCTGTGCCAGGATCTATTCCATGTGTGTGCACGCCTGCATAAGGGCTGCACTGTGCAGGCACACGTGTGCTCCCTGGCCCCTCCAGGAGGCGGCATGATGGCACACGCGTGTGCATGTTCCCTGGAGCTGATGGGCACATGCCTGCTTAGCAGACTGGGGAGCTTTTGGGCAAGGAGTGAAGCTTTGAAGTGTCTCTCCCGTCACTGCATTTCAGGGTCCTAGCTGCTCCCGCAGGGCCGTGGCCATCGCCACTGCACTCTGCCCCTCTCCAAGGTCTTCGCAGCTGCCCCTCTCCCCCAGGAAGTCCTGCCACACTGCAGAGTCCAAGCACCTGCACCAGGGCGCTCATCGTGTCGGCTCCAACTGGTAACCATTTAGCTCCTCCAGCCCAACCTGGAGAGAGCAAGGAGTAGGCAGGATAGCACGGAAAGGAAGGAAAGAGGAGCCCAGAGTGGTGAGGCCACAGAGCTCTGGGTCTGTGCCCCTAGCAGCAAAGCCGGGAGGAGGGTGACCTGCCTCCCACCAGCTCTTAGACAAGGACTTGGTAAAGCACCCGTCCCCTCCCTTCCCAAATTAACCCTGGGCTCTTACCACCCTTACAGTCTGTGGGATCCCACCACAGCCAAGGACGGCTGGAGAAGGGAGCTATGGGCACAACTGCGTGCAACAATGATCCCCAGCCAAAGCACCATCCCACCAGGGCATCCTCTGTGCAGCTTCGCACTCTCCCTGCTTGCTCCAGGATTGCCCCTTCCACTTTGCTGCCCCGCAGCCACCACCCCTCCTTCAGGCGCTCCGGGGCCACCAGCTTGCCCATGTAGGGATGCTCCGATGTCTGGCCACGCAGCTGCTGGTGCAGCTGGGCAGAAAGCGAGAGATGCCAATGAAACACAAAGGGGAAAGGGGCACTGCCGAGGCCCCATCCCACCAATGGCTCTGGGTGCCGGGCCGCTGGGGGACCGTCTCTAGGATGGGGACCTCGGTGAAGGTGCCCGGTGCCCTGCGCCCCACAGTCTTTGGGGACTCCTGCCCTGGCAGAGGCTGCGCTGCCTAAGGGTGAAGCTCCAGCCCTTCACGCACCCCCGTCCCGTCCCGGTGCCGGTACCCA